AGACACGCTTGCCATTAGGGGAGAGATGAAGCCCATAGCAGGGGGGATTTCCTTCACTGGGTGCTTCAGCTCTGAACTGAAGGTACTGATGGCTTAAGCATGGCATTTAAAGGTTGGTTTTTGGGGAACTGACCTATAAGTATAGATATGTGCATTAGACGGGTTCAGGATGGGCAACAGGGGTTAATTGATTTCTAAGTGTCTGGTTCACACAGTCACACATTTTCACCTAGCCTTGGAAGCAGATAAGCTGGCTAACACAACAAGGCCAACAAGGACACACAGTGTGGAAAACAGAGGGACTATGCACCATACTGCCCATAGCGCGAGATAAGGGGGCAACCAAATTAGAAGGCCCAGAAAGACCAAATTAGTATGTGTGCATGTGATAAGCTATGTGGACTGTGACAATCACACAGAGGGACCAACCAGTGATAGCCATGGATGAGGAGCCATCGGGGGAAGGAGAATACAAAAGAAGGACTTTGGAGCAGCAAAGGGTCCCTCCCCATTCCCCTCCTCGTCCCTCCACATCCTCCGCCTGGGGTCCCTCCTCGTCCCTTCTCCCTGTCCTCCAGGAAGGGTCCCGGAGGTCATCATGGCCAGAGGGCACACCACCAGCCCGTCTCATCCACCCTGCTGGAGGTGAGGTGTGGGCCTCGGCATCCCACCTCCAGACTGCTGGCATCTGGCACCAAAGAGACAGCCTCAGAGTGAAGACTGCGTCCTGGCCAGATGTACTTGGACTCTGATGACAGCCCTAGGATTTGGTCGATAAATAAAATGGCTTGATTGTTTGTATAGTTTCTATTCTGTTATCAATAAATTTGCCTATTATTGAATGAAAAGGTCATGGTTGGTCTGAGGGTGCCTCCCCCACCCCCCGAACAAGGGGTCTGGATCCTAAATCCAGAGCCAACAGGTACCACAGCCAGCAGAGACAAAGAGCTGCTTCTTTTTTCTGCCTACTCCACGAATGCTGGTAATAGCTAGAGCTTGTGTGAGGCCCTCCATGTGGTTTGGCGTCCTGCCCTCTAGGTAATGAACCAATTGGTTCCATGTGGACCACCAAGCAGCTGTCAGACAGTAACGACTTCTAGCCATCCCATTATGGGTTGGATTCAGACGAGGGGCTTGCAGGCAGAATGACAGAACCAGTTTTCCATCCTCTGAACCATTTAGTCTCCAGTCGATCAGGATTCCTAACACATACACAGACGCATACATCTGTTGGCCCACCTCTTGAAAGCGCCTTCCACTTTCACCAGCTCCTCCACCGAGTGAGCTGATGACAGACCAAACGATGAACTGCCAAATGCTGATCTTTCCAAACACACATACATGCATATATATATATATATATATATTTATAT